TACAAAGCCCTCCCTACCCCACTTCTGTGTACACCAACACTCTCCTAAGTGAATGAGGGATGATTTTTGGTTTGTTCCCTTATGATTCCTATTCACAGGAGTTTTTGACAATTTGCAACCACCTCTTGTTCTTGGCTTTTCGGCCACTCACCAGACAGAGGGTTTTTTTTGTGCAAGATAAAGGTTTTTTTTTCTTTTCGTTGCAGCACTTTGAGCTTGTGCTGTGCTTATCCTTTCTGACAGCCCACCTCAAGGTGTGTGGAGACAGTGGCCTCCTACTCTTGACTTCAGAGTCCACAGAAAGGAAAAGGTTTCCTTTTTCCCAAAGGTCCGTGATGGTTTCCTCTGGAAGGTCTTTGTGCTTCAGACCCCACCTGGACACATTCCTGTGCAACCTGCTCTGGGTAGACCTGCTCTGGCAGGGGGGTTGGACTATTTGATCTCCAGAGGTTCCTTCCAACCCCATGTGATTCTGTGGTCCTGTGTGATTCACCTCTTGGCGTAGCAGTTGGCACAGTATGAATACAGAGCCCTTGTTTTCAACGTTGGTATGGTCAAGTCCACAATCAACACTTAGCAGAATGTTACACAACACCACTCTCCCTCCCACAAAAATTACCTGTGTCAACTTTAGTGCTCTTGGAACTACAAAACTCATTTACCTCCCGTGTGCCCATGCTCACGGTATCTCATCAGGATGAAAAAAGAAAACAAAAAACAACCAATCAACCATGGGAAGAAATATATTTATTCTCAGATTATATTTTAATGGCTGTGGATAAATGAAAGACCTGGAGAAAGTGGAATGTCAGGCACCTTCTGCACAAGTGGAGGGAAAAATACCACAAGAACTTTTTACATTATCTTCCTCCATGTGCTCATCACCTCTAGCAAGGGAAAAAAATAATCAGTGATAGCAATCGCTCTAATACCGGGAACTGCCCCAATCCCAGAGCCAAGGGACATGTGGCAAAACTCTCTTGGAAGAGTATACTCTGGAAGGAAGTGAAATGTCCTAAAAACGAGATGGCATCATTTACAGGACGGTGTGTACCCAGAGCAGCTCTTGGCATCCTTGAAGATGGGCGACATCAATGCTCTGTGAGGAGAAGCACCTGGATTTGAAGGACTCTCCGCTGCTGGACATGGACATCTGGATTGCAGTCACATTTATGAGAGAGGCCTTTTCTTCATCCCTATGAGATGGATAACACACACACACACAGAACGTTATTTCAGTAAGTGAGCCTACCTTGTGACTAAATTTTTTTAACAGTCCTCAGAAGGTGGCTGAAGGGATCTTGGCTGGAAGACTAAGTGCAGCCCCTCCATTTGATGCTTTTATATCTTTCACATCTTTGACCCCTTCTTTACCAAGGGAACAAGTGCAGGGCTGGGATTTTAATTTTTTTAGAGAAAAAAGGAGCAATAATTCACGTCCAGCACCTCTATGACAATATTAGTTCGTGTGATAGCAGACAGACTCACCCTCACAAACTCTCCCCTCAGTCCAATCAACCCCAGATTGTCTAGTTGAACAAGTTCTCATTGACACCAGCAAGAAGGGCAAAATCCATACCCCTGAAGATGCAGAAAGAGCTAAGGAGGAGCCAGGAGGAGATGTGGTGGCTGGGCCCACACCAGCAGCACTGCTCCAGTTCAGCCTTTTCTTTGCAGATCTCAGCTTTGTGAGAGTCTTTCCTCCACGTTGGGGAACGCTTAGCACGAAGGCTTCACCCAGTCAAAGTCTGAAAGGGTAAATATTTCTGCCAGGGATCATTATTTTCCTTTCTTCCTTTGTTTGCCCTGGAACAAAGGGAAAAGAAAAAAAAAAAGAAAAGGAAAAAAAAAAAAAAAGCCTGTGCAATTTAACAATGCTGCATTGAGAGCCACGGTATCTTATAGCACAGAAATGACCCTCTCCTTGCCCTCTAATTCTTGTCTTTTAGAGCCAGGGGTATATTCTGCTGCTGCTTGCAGCAAGGGTAAAAAAACATGGAGATGTGGCTTTGGAAGAACATTTCAGATCTAGTGAAAGGCACTTTTGACCTTGGCATAAGAGCTGTACCAAAAGTGCTGGTGTTCAAGGAAAAGAAAAACATAAACAAGCGGAGAAGCCTCCCTTGTCTGACAGCGGGGTGAAACACTCCCAAGGGGGATTTTTAACCCAGTTAACTTAAGTCTCCTCTGAAAGAGCCAGAGAGTTAATGATGTTCCCTGTGCAGAAAATACCACGTCATAAGCAAAGATTTTCTGGAACCCTGCTTAACTGGATGAACAATATTTTAGTGGAGCTCAATTGCTAATACCCTCAGTGTATCCAAATATACTTGGGTAGCTGTGAAACTGAAAAAAAAAAAAAAAAAAGCAGACGTGTTTGATAAATATATCCTGCCTGTATTTGGGACAAAGTCGAATGCCGTTTCCACATTATATAATGATGATGAAACGCCTCCTGTTCAAGCAACTTGAAAAAGAACATCAAACAGGGCAACTAACATTTCAAAAGCAGCGCGCCTAGAGGACTCACACGTGGGTATTTTAAGGGCTGATTCTTCAGACGACTGTTCTTGCATAAGGTGGGAATGTGAGTGTTCAGAAACGGTCCAGGAGACCATTTCTGAGGAGAAAACCAGTGCTGTGTCAATATTTGGAAAGTGTGGTTGAGGCAAGCCCACGGAATTTGTGACTGGCTGGTCCCACGCCACTCCTGACCTAGGGATAACAAAGTGGTTCGTACCAATTAATAAGGAGGTGGAGGACGGGGATGTAATGACAGAGCAATCAGTAGTTTTCATGGGAAACTGTCAAAGAACAAATTTCATCTTGTTCTTGAATAAAATCACGGGTACAGCTGAGAGCAGTTAACGGTGTTGACTCAGTGCTGCACGGCGTCCAGATCTGAGGGGAAAAAAAATACACAAAATCAATATGAGTGCATAATAAATGGTTTAAAAATAGCTAATGGAAAGATCTTAAAATGGCTTTGTTATAGAGGATTCATCAATGAATAAAGATTGTTTCTAATGGACTCCTGCACGCACTTGTGCTGTTCATTGTATTTTATTTAGGATCTGCAAGAAAATACAAGGTGATTGCATCGTTGGTGAGAGTTTCAGAAGTGACTACACAATTTAAAATTGCACTAACGGGAGTAGCTTGACTTGCAAACCAAGGCTGCTGGGATGGGATAATTAGGAGAACTTGGTAAAACGAGCTTAGTTAAAGGAAGTCTTAGGACAGGCAAACGCAACGTCCTGCAGTTAGGAGCAATTATCCAGCAGAGTGCAGGCTCAAAGAGACATCATCTTGAAATGCAGAAGTGCCTCCTGGTTAGTCCATACCCTGGAAAGCAGCGGAGTGCACTGGCTGCAAGAAAATACAAGGTGATTGCATCGTTTATGAGCGGTGAGAGTTTCAGAAGTGACTACACTATTTAAAATTGCACTAACGGGAGTAGCTTGACTTGCAAACCAAGGCTGCTGGGATGGGATAATTAGGAGAACTTGGTAAAACGAGCTTAGTTAAAGGAAGTCTTAGGACAGGCAAACGCAACGTCCTGCAGTTAGGAGCAATTATCCAGCAGAGTGCAGGCTCAAAGAGACATCATCTTGAAATGCAGAAGTGCCTCCTGGTTAGTCCATACCCTGGAAAGCAGCGGAGTGCACTGGGGGAAACTGGGCTGCAGGGACATTTGTAGTGAGCTAATTCCAGCCAAATGCTGTGGCCGGGGGGAAACTGGGCTGCAGGGACATTTGTAGCTAATTCCAGCCAAATGCTGTGGCCAAAGGAGCAAACAGCAACTTTGGGCAAAGGAACAGGGTAAAAAAAAGAGGCATTGATGGTTTTTGGTGTTTTTTGGCAAAGCTGCTGGAGAAATTCAGAGTCGGGTTCTAGTGTGCGGTTTTTTGGCAAAGCTGCTGGAGAAATTCAGTCGGGTTCTAGTGTACATAATGTTTTTTAAGTGATGTTAAAAACTGGAAGGTATTCAGAGATGTTCTGCAGTGCAATGTACTTTCAATTACACCCATACTCCCTACTTTCATGGTACCTCTTCTTCTCTTGGATAAAGGGAGGTCCTTGGGAGGTCCTCATGGTACCTCTTTTCCAGGAAATTCCCAACTGCGTTAACTCTGCAGAAAGGAAACATATATAAATATATGGCTACGGAAGTCTTCTCTGAAGGTCTCATGATAGGAGCATCAAAGCATCCACTGGTCTTAGTCTGCACGGAAGGTTCTACACAAATGACATTTCAAAATAAATGTAACTTTGCTTTATGACTTCCATATAGACACATCTTTCCACATTTATTCCACTGTAAGGAAACTTTCCTCCGCTGATGGTAAATGAGTTTTAAATTTGGTATTATTTTTCATTTTCTGTTAACTCTATGGTGATGGAACTTGAATCCTGCATCATACCAGAAACTTTTCAGCTGCTCCACACCTGTGAGCTCACTGCTAACAGAAAAAGGGTGGGGGGAGATACTCCTTTTCTGAGCTCAAATGAGAGAGGTCTGGGCGCTCAACTTCTTTCACACCAGCCTACCCCAGGAAAGACCTTCCTCACAAAATCCAAGTGAAAGCCATTAGGACTCTTTTGGGATGAGGTCCAGGCTCTGGAACACCTTCACTTTGCCTTTAATAAATCAGTTTTCAGGCCGTGGGTCTCTGAGGTGGCTATAATGAAGAACAGCCACATTGGGAACCACGCAGTCTCCGTGCTGTGGTTCAGCTTGATGATGAGGAACCACCAGCGCTTGGTCTTTCCTTCTGTACTCTACAGACTGTGCACAAGAAGGTTGCTTATGTAGAGCAGACCTATACCTCCAGAAATGCAGGTCAAGAAATAAATCAAATCATCTGAAAGATGAAAAAGGTAGACAGCATTTAAAGAGCCTCTTGTTCCTTTGGACAATCTTCCTTGGCCTCCGACAAGGAGCAAAAGGAGGGAGAGTTTGAGTAGGATGACATGAAGGAGAGTGAAACACTTGTAGAATGAGAAAAGATGGTGAAATCCCCCTGGCTTTGATGGAAATGAGGATAAAAAGTGAGAATCCAACAATCTTCAAAGCAATCTATGAGGTAAGTGACATTCCCTTTTTCTTCCCCACTGTGGAAAAAAACCTGGGGCAGGTTTCACGGAGAGATTACCTCATGGAGTTGATTAGAAATGCAGAGGATAAGTTAAACAAAGAGATGATCATGATGATTAAACAAGAGAATCCTCATGATTCAAGCATGGTGGTCAAACTCCCTAACGCAGCCTCCTCTGCTGAATTATTGCTCGTACCTTGTTTTTCTCATCTCTTTTTCCTCTCTTTCTCCATTTGAAAAGGGAGAACATCACACACAAAGCTCTGGCGGTGGGGGCTCGGGAAGGCTAACAGAGTTCTTGGAGCTTTTAGGACTGAAAAGTGTTGCCGATGCACTCAAGGATCCATGTGTAGCCTTTCAGTGTGATTTTAATGACTCAGGGAAACAACACACCACTGAACATTTTTAAAAGCTTCACCTGCCCTTCCAGCCCGGACTCAGTGTGGCCTCTCTCTGTGTTTTAACACACGCCATTAACAGGATTCCCCGGCTGAAAGCGGACGTGGGAGGTAGGGCACAAACCTATTTTTGGATGCACAACGCCGTGCAATACACAGAAGTCCCCTTGTTGCGGGAGAACGTAGGATGGAGAGAAGCAGAAGGCGTAGAAGATGGAGGGAACTGAAAGCTGGAGAGGGACTTTTTACAAGATCGTGTAGTGGTAGGACGAGGGGTAATGGTTTTAAATTGAAAGAGATGAGATCTGGGGATGAAATTGTTGACTGTGAGGGTGGTGAGAGCCTGGCCCAGGTTGCCCAGAGAAGCTGTGGCTGCCCCATCCCTGGAGGGGTTCAAGGCCAGGTTGGAGGAGGCTTGGAGCAACCTGGTCTGGTGGGAGGTGTCCCTGCCCAGGGCAGGGGGTGGGACTGGATGATCTTTAAGGTCCCTTCCAACCCAAACCATTCTATGACCACGTGCTCTGTATCCTGTTTTTTCCCCACAGCTGACGTATGGGGCTGTGAGAGGGGTTTTGCTGTATGTCAAGGAGGAGGACACACATAGACATTTAGGGGTGGGGGCACACAAATGTACATGAGACTCAAGCGACTTTCATTCCTGCATCCTGACTGTACACAAACACACACACACACCCCCCTTGGCTTCTTCTTCTTCTAGGTGGGGTACAACCCAGCCATCCACCGCAGGCCAGCACAGAGAATGGGGTGGTTTTGGGTAATTCAGCTTCAGAGGTGACATCCAGTTGTCTCTTCCCCTCTTCTCCCCTTAGGAGAAGGGGTGTGTGTGTATGCAGCTGGGGGTTCAACACACAGCCACAGGCTGCAGGGTGTATATGGCCAGTGGTTGCAGACCAGCACCCTGAGCTGGCTGTGATGTCTATACCACGGGGACGTTGTACACCCAGATGTGACGAACACAGCGGTATCAGGTCCCTTGCTCCTGGAGGTGTAACTGAGATGGAGTATCACTCACAAACCCTCTCACCGCCTCCGTCCTCCCGGGCATGTTGCGAAAAGGTGGTGGTTGGGGGGGGGTGTCTCATAAACAGGTGACCCCACCCCAGTAAGCTGGGGTGTGTTTCTGGGAGTCTCTCCCTTTCCCACATGCACAACAACCCTCACCCCATGAGAAAGGAGGGAGGTGTGGGGCAGGGGGGTGATCAATCACTGCCCCTCACTCGGCCGCGGGGGGTGTGTGGGGACAGGGAGGTGTCTCACGCAGTTGTAAAACCTTCCCCCATCCCACTACAGGCTGCTGGATGTGTTATCACACCAATACACATCTCAACACCCCCTCCTGCTGATTGCAAGGTGTGTCTTGGGGATGGAGGCGGGTGTTTCTCACTCGCACACACACACAAACAAGCACAGGTGAACCCCATCCCCTCTGATTTTGGGGGGAGCACAGCTAACTTTTGGAGGAGCGGGGTCTCTCTCGCACATGGGTGACCCCAGGCTGTCACCAGGTACCCCCACAGGGCATCAGGATGAGTGCTGGGGATGTCACATAGACCCCCAAGGCAACAGGATGAGCGTTGGGGTGTCTCACGCACAGACACCAATCCCCCACAGGGCTGCAGGACGTGAGTTCTTTCACACACACACACACACGAGGGTGCAAGATGTCCTTTAAGAGTGCCTGTCACCCACACGAAGCTGCCGTTTGTGTCGTCGGGGTGTTGGCCACACTCACAGAGTGGTGTTTTAGGAGCTCCTGCCATAAACACGCCAAGATGTGGTTTGTGATTTGGGGGTACACATCGCTGGGGGTACCCATGCTGTGTTGCAGGGTGTATTTCGGGGTGTCTCATCTGCCTGTGATGCCATGGGTTGTGCTTCAGGGTGACTCAGCCACATGGAGGGGCGCAGGCCGGGTGTCGCTCATGTCCCCGAGGCAGCAGGCTGGAGTTTTGGGGTCTCTTGGACACAGGCTGTAGTTCAAGGTGCCGGTCACACATGGAGCTGGGACTGTGTCTGAGGGTGTCTCACACACACAGGGCTGTAGAAGGTGTCTGAGTGTGTCTCACACACACATATGGGACTGTAGTCTGTGTTCGGGAGTGTCATACGCACGCATGGCTGTAGACTGTGTTTGAGTGTGTCTCACACACACACGGGGCTGTAGTCTGTGTCTGAGTGTATCACACACACACACACACGGGGCCATAGACTGTGTCTGAGTGTGTCACACACATGGGGCTGTAGACTGTGTCTGAGCGTGTCTCACACACACACGGGGCTGTAGTCTGTGTTAGGGGGCATCACACACACACAGGACTGCAGTCTGTGCTTGGGGATGTCACACACAGTCTGAGCGTGTCTCACACACACACGCGGGGCTGCAAGCTGTGTTTGGGGGTGTCACACACACACGGGGCTGTAGACAGTCTGAGCGTATCTCACACACACGGGGGTCTGTAGACTGTCTTGGGGGTGTCACACACGCGGGGCTATAGAGTCTGAGCGTGTCTCACACACACGGAGCTGTAGACAGTCTGAGCGTGTCTCACACACACACGCGGGGCTGCAAGCTGTGTTTGGGGGTGTCACACACACACGGGGCTGTAGACAGTCTGAGCGTGTCTCACACACACACGCGGGGCTGCAAGCTGTGTTTGGGGGTGTCACACACACACGGGGCTGTAGACAGTCTGAGCGTGTCTCACACACACACGCGGGGCTGCAAGCTGTGTTTGGGGGTGTCACACACACACGGGGCTGTAGACAGTCTGAGCGTGTCTCACACACACACGCGGGGCTGCAAGCTGTGTTTGGGGGTGTCACACACACACGGGGCTGTAGACAGTCTGAGCGTGTCTCACACACACACGCGGGGCTGCAAGCTGTGTTTGGGGGTGTCACACACACACGGGGCTGTAGACAGTCTGAGCGTGTCTCACACACACACGCGGGGCTGCAAGCTGTGTTTGGGGGTGTCACACACACACGGGGCTGTAGACAGTCTGAGCGTGTCTCACACACACACGCGCCTGCAGGCTGTCTTGAGGGTGTCACACACACAGAGGGGGCTGCAGTCCGTGCCTGTGGGTGCCACGCACACACCAACAGGCCTGTACCCACTTCTGAAGGCCTCCCCAGGCGAGCCGCGGGAGGGCGAGGCGGTGGAGCCGGTCTGCGTGCGGAGCGGGCTCTACGAGGTGGACGTGGCCAGCGCCGAGAGCTACCCCGTCTACTGGAACCGTGAGTCCCCCCCCTTTCCCCTCCCGCGGGG